TCCACCATCAACCTAAGGTTCTTGGAGGTCATTTTCAGAGGTTAAGGAGTTGGTTTTTGGTCCAGAACCTGCTGGTTTTTGCTGAGTTTCAAGGGTAACTCATTTTTCCTTTTTTAAGCTTTATTTTGATCAAGCTTTTAGTCTATCTTGCATGCTGTTTTGAGCTTAACTTATAACTGATAAAAATTCTGATTTTTCATGCTTTTGATCTTTGTTTAAGATCACTTTTGTGTTTGGGATTGTTTACCCCCTCTTAGGCCTTGTTTGGCCTCATTTTTGTGCCTTTTTTGTGAGCTTCAGGACCGTCTCATATTGGTCTTCTCACCACTGAAATTCAGAGGGATTTTAGTGGTGGGGATGGTGTTTTGAGGTCCTAATAAGGAGAGGGTCATCCCCTCTCATTGTTGTCTTCAATACTTGTCATATTTGCCTCACATGTGAGCACCTTTGTTAAGTTCATGTTGGCCATGTCTTAGCTGGTATTTGTGGTTATTTTTCTGTCATATGCCACTGTTTTTGCCTATCTTGGTCATTCCATGCTTGGTTTATACATTCGTAGTGTAAATTTTGCAAACTAGTCTTGTATGCTTCAGGTTTGAGCATGTCCTTCTAGCTCATGTTGACCTCATTTCAGTGGGTTTTTGGGATTTTTTTAGCATGTCATAACTCTGTCTAAAGTTGGTTTAATAGCCCCTTACATACACCATGCACTTGTAGTGCATTTTCATGAAATTGCCCTAACATGCTTTGTGCTTTGAGCCTTGTTTTTAGCAAGATTTTGGCTTGACCCAAAGAAGATTTTAGCCTTGTTTTACCATGCTTAAGGTTTTTTTGGTGTTGTTTTGGTCATGCTTACATTGTTTTGTATAGCCATGGTTCAACCTAGCTTGTTGGCTTTGAATGTCCAAGTCACTAGTATGCATTGCTAGGACTATTCTTATGATTTGGCATCATTTCATATGTGATTTCAGAGCATATTTCATGGTCATGCACTCACATCTTTCACTTTTTCCACGCTTTGAAGAGTTGGTACTTTATGCCTTAAGAATGAGCCATTGCGTATGCCATTTTGCCTAAGCTTGTAAGCTGCCATATCAGTGTGTATTTGGTCTCATTTTGTCATGTTATAGCTCTGATTTTAGTTGGTGAAGTCATCTCATGCTCGATTTTGATAGGTGTAGTGTAATGCTCCTTATTGGCCTTGTATGCGTCATGTTTTGTGCTTCCCATGCTAGCTTGTTTTTGGCCTCATTCCATGCATGCTTTGGCCTTATTTTGACCTTCCTTAGGACTGTTTTGGGTCACCTTGACCCTTTGGGGCTTGGTTGATATGGCCATGGTGCAAGCCCATTGGCTAGCTTTGAGCTTTAAGTCCATTAGCATGCTATGCTTATCCTATTTAGTTGATTTGGCATCATTCCTCATGAAATTTATGAGCCTTACTTCATTTGTCTAAATTCTCTAATTTCAGTCAAAAACTTTCGAATCATGTTTGAGAGTTATGCTATTATGCTTAAGTCTGGCCAATTCAATGAGCATTGATTTCCTTACTTCTTCAAAGCCATTACGCTTTCATGCAATTATGGACACTAGAATTGAGGCCCTATTTGAGAGCCGTCCATTTTGGTTTTAAGTCCACCCTTTGCAATTGTTGTTTGCATGCCTTGCTTGTATGTTTGTCAACATGCTTATTCGGTGTGCAATATTTAGTTACCTTGCATGTTGTGCATCTAGTATGGTTGGCATGTTGTTGATGCTAGTCATGAACTTATCCCTTTATTCATGTTGTCATACATGTTTGTATCATTTTGTATGTTGTTTGCATCTTATCCACTTTGCATGCCTTGCAGCTTGAATGATTCATGTTGCACCTTGCATAGTTGTTTTAGTTTATTGAGCATTTGGCAATGCTTGTCACATTTACCTTGTAACTGGCATTGTCATTAACATGCTTATGTTCACATTGGCTTTCGCATATGCTCAATGGTTGGCCTTGCTTGCATGCCTAGGTTGCATAGCATTAAGCATGCCTCCTTTCCTTGAATTAAAGCATGATACGGTTGGGCCCTTATATGTGTATGCATTTCATTTGAAATAAATTGCACACTTGGCTCCTTTGGCCATCAGTGCCATTGGAATGCGTGATTAGTGCCTGAGGGTCGAGAGCCATACTCTTTTTGAGTCTTAGACATGATAAGTGGGCAAGGGTGGTGGTTGAAACATTTGCCTTGAAAATGCATTGCCCGGATGCTCTATCTGTCCTCTGTTGCAACAAAAATACGAGATTCTGAGCCAGAGATAGTACGTCGACTATCTTTAGTCCGGCCTGGCTAATGCAATTGTTGGCCCGAGATCTACAAATGGTCGATGACCACTTCACCTTGCCGGTGCCCTATGTCTTGGCCGGGTGACCTCCAAAACACTCAGGGAGTGTTTCGGAAGAGCAATCTTTTAGAGACTTGGTGTGTCTCAGAGATGTCAGAGCAGTGTAAACAAGGCAACATGAGCATTGACGATCAAGATTTCCGAGCGGGAGCCGGAGCATGCATGCAATTTGTCCTACTATCCGAGCCTCTTTACTGCTTATGTAGCTTATATTAATTGAGTTTAATTAGTTTTAGATTTGTGTAATATAATTAGCTAGTAAGTGGTTAATTAGATGATTTGTATTATTCTTTTGACCCTCCAGTCGGAGGGCGGATTTTTGTTAAATAGTGGTGCGTAGAGTGTGTGAAATGTTCTTCCAACCCTACATCTTCCATACTTTTTTTACCTGCTTCTAGTGAGTTAGTTTTAGGTCATGTTTTCAATTAGCATTCCTATGATACTCTCGCATGTTGCTCCTTCATTATATGCAATGAACATCGAGCTCGGATGTCACTTCATATCAAACTCTGACATTTGTAATCTATCAGATTCCTATTTAGTAATACATGTACCTCGAAGTTGGTTTGCATTTCTACATGCAATTTAGAATAGCCGAGCACAATTCTCTATTTGCATTTTTGCATGCGTTGCATTAGCCATCTTAACATGAGCTAGATCATCACTTGATTACTAACTGAATTAAGCTTTTGTTGGCATCGGAGTTCTTAGGTAGCTTTTTTAAGCTTTAGCAATCACTGCTAATGAGTGTGAATGCCACCTAGAAAGCATCGCCTTGCATGAGCCTAACATACTTATAATATATCAACTGCCTGAATGCCTGTGGGTGAAGGTTAGATTACTTTGAATTGGAACAATTCAATCTGAAATACGAGATTTTTAAGCCCACTTGAGAGTGCAAGAAATCATGTTTTCTTAAGCCACTTCGAGGGTGGCAAATCCACGTTTAGCCTAATCTGTATGACGCGCCATGGGGCTCATGCTACAGTTCGGACTCAAATAGTCACAGGTCCTGTATCTAATCCTCGCAGATGTGCAATGCCAGACCGATGAAGATCATCAAAAGAATCCAAAGCCATGTCATACAATAGTTTTGAAAAACTGATTTTTTTTAGGAAAAGGAAGTGCCAAGACATGGACTCAGCTATTGCCAGATCTACAGTGAGTCCGCCACTAAATATTTAATTTTGGGAGAAATTTGAGGAAAAACCCTGACTACATTGCCTTAATGCCACGTGTCCGTCATCACCGA